TCCGAGCTGGGGGCAGTCCGCGACGGCAGGCCTGGCACAGAGGCGATGGCGACGAGCTGGGGAGTAGCCTCGGGCTCGGCGGGCCCGCCGGGCCGACTCAAGAAACCCTCGTTGCGCCACTCCAGCGTTGACCTCTTGGGGGGTGCACCTGGGCTTCCGCCGGCTGCCCCCGGCGCAGCCTCCTCCTGCCGGCCTCCGCTGGCCTATATACGGTCTGACCTAGGACAAAAGAACATAGTTCAAGAACATGAGACCCTCCGCCGCCAAGCTGAATAAGATTCGAGGGTACACCCCCCCAAGATGCACAAGAACATCCAACAATCACGAAGACCACTAGGGTACCCTCCCCAAGCCGACCTCGATCTTAGACCCCGGTCCGACCGTACCAGCCCCCGCCTGCATCGAGAGATCAGCCACTCAACCCCTCCAATGCTGGGCCCTCTCTGGTCTGAAGCGCCCCGCCAGCGCTGACCCCCTCAGCGAATTCGCCTCGAGAGCCTCCCTGGCCTAAGCCTACTCGGCGACATCCGCCGACTCTTCCTGGCGAGATTCTGCCGAGAGAGGGAGAGAGGGCCGGCGCCGTTGTGGAGGCCAAGGTGGGTCCGCTGACCAGCGTGCATATCCGACCCCGCTGGTTCAGAGCCACACCCGTGCACGCTCTGCGTGCCGCCGCCCCCCCGATACCCCATGAGTCCATGTCCCCCCTTGCACTCGGCAGGAAGCGGACGGAGGCGGGAGGGGAAGAGGGGGGAGGGAAAAGGGCATTGCCTCGGAGTTGCCCGACACCCAAAGCAGGTGGGAAGAGAGAAGGGAAGAGGGCTGGGGGAGGAGAGCGGAGGGAGGAGAGCGGAGGAGAGAGGAGAGAGGGAAGGAGGAAAGCTAGGCGCGCTCGCGCCTCATCTGACACCCTACCCCTTCCTCCCGTCCCTTCCCAAGGCGATGATGGTTCTCTATCCGCGGACGCTTGTCATAGCCGACCTGCGACTCCCGCAATCGGAAAGAGGGGAGCTACGTGCACTGGAGGAGGTGGCGGGTGAGCAGGACGATGAGCGGGGGGAAAGGACGAGGACGAACAGCAGCATCTGGAACTGAAGCGGATGGATCGGGAGAAACAGGAGGACCAGGGGAATGCGGAGAAGGAGGAATGAGGGGGGCCGGCAACGATAAAGAAAGACTCGGATTAAGAAAAGTGGCCCGCGCTGTGGCGAGAACAACAGCAGCAGCAGGAACTGGAGGGGAAGCAGCGGGAGGAACAGGAGGACCAGGGGAAGAGGGAGGAGGGGAAATGAAGGGCGGGACCACAATGAAACACAACTCGGATCCACAAAGTGGCCCGCGCTGGGGCGAGAGCGCCATTCTGAACGACGGGAGCAAAGCGTCGATCTGGAAATGAGGCCCATGCTGCAGCGGGAGCACCATTTTAGACACCGGCAACAATCGGCTTGCACAATAACAAACTTAGAAACAAAAAACAACTGAAATCCGATAAAAAAGAAAACACTACGCGGAGGGGACGGGAGATTCATCGGGACAGCTTCCAAGGGGAGGGAGAGCAGTACTCATAGTGCGTAGTCGTTGGGAGGAGGCTCGGACACCGCCTGAGGGTCTGGCGCCTAATGGTGTCGAGACACTTCTGCGCGCGCCCCACTCCCAACGGCCGCAGGCCTCCTCCCTTCGAAGGGGCCCACGTTCGCCCCTCGCCCAAGGTCAGCGCACGAGGACGAGGGAGAGGAGGAGCGAATGTGGCAGCGAGCCCTCGGGCGCCCCTCGGGACCCACCCCTGGCGCCCCCCGTCTTGATGCCTCGGCTCAGCACGCTGCGATTATGGCACACTGGGCAGTCGAAGGAGGGAGAGGGCGGAGGCAGGGGGAGAGGGGAAGGGAGGGAAAAACGTCTGGGGGTCCCTTCTTCGTGAGAGGGGAGGCAGGGAGGGAGGATGAAGGGAGGGGGGAAGGCAGGGAGGGAGGGGGGAGGGAGAGGGGGAAAGGGAGGGACGATGGAGGGAGGGGAGGCAGGGAGGGAGGGTGGGGAGGAAGGGAGGGGAGCGCGGGGAGAGGGGGGAGCAGGGAGGGATGAGGGAGGGATGAGGGAGGGATGAGGGAGGGATGAGGAGGGAGTGAGCCCTGCCTGCGGCAGACTCCAGCGTGCCGACGCGCTCGCGGATGTACCGTGCCAGCCTGTACGCGCGAAGCGCGCCCTGCTGATCTCCCTGGTTGCCTGGGGGGGCGACAGGGGAAGTTCTGTCTCAACCCTGTACTGCTCCTCCTCCTCCTCCTCCTCCTTCTTCTCCTCCTCCTCCTTCTTCTCCTCCTCCAACTTCCTCATTTACTCCTCCAACCTCCTCCTTCCTCTGCTCCTCCAACCTCCTCCTCCTCCTCCTCCTCCTCCTCCTCCTCCTCCTCCTCCTCCTCCTCCTCCTTTTCCTCCTCCTCCTCCAACTGGGCGTGGGTGACGCATGCCGGCGGTGGCACTGGCGCCTTCGCTGGAGCCCCCCATGGGGCCACGAAACGCGTGAGCGGTGTGCCGAAATGGGCGTGGGTGACGCATGCAGGCGGTGGCACTGGGGCCTTCGTTGGAGCTCCCTATGGGGCCACGAAACGTGTGAGGGGTGTGCCGAAATGGGCGTGGGTGACGCATGCCGGCGGTGGCACTGGGGCCTTCGTTGGAGCTCCCTATGGGGCCACGAAACGCATGAGGGGTGTGCCAAAATGGGGCGTGGGTGACGCATGCAGGCGGTGGCACTGGGGCCTTCGGTGGAGCTCCCTATGGGGCCACGAAGCGTGTGAGGGGTGTGCCGAAATGGGCGTGGGTGACGCATGCAGGCGGTGGTACTGGGGCCTTCGCGGTGGAGCTCCCTATGGGGCCACGAAGCGTGTGAGGGGTGTGCCAAAATGGGGCGGCGCCGCCATGCGAACTGCACCACGGGGACCTTAGGTGGAGCTCCCTATGGGGGGCCACGAAATGTGTGAAGAGCGTGCCACAATGGCGCGGCGCCGCCATTCGAACTGCGCCACTGGGGCCTTCGCGGTGAAGCTCCCTATGGGGCCACGAAACGTGTGAGGGGTGTGCCAAAATGGGGCGGCGCCGCCACGCGAACTGCACCACGGAGACCTTAGGTGGAGCTCCCTGTGGGGCGGCGCCAGCCACTGCCAGTGGCCAGCAGCAGGCCAGGGCGCCACTCAGCCTGGGGCAGCCCACGCGGCAACGCGTGTGCACATGTGGGGTGGCAAGGGTCGCCTCCAGGCGCGCGCCTGGGGCGGCAGGCCCAGGGGGGCATGATTGGCGGGAGGCGGGCCAGTGCGCCCGTGCAGACGACGCGATCGCCACCCCGGGCAGACAGGCAACCAGCAGGGGCGGCACCCAGAGAAGCGGCGACTGCACACGCACACACGCGCGCGCACGCATTCGGCTCTGCGCGGCTGGAGCGGGAGGGGGGGAATGAGGGAAGAGGCAATGGGGGAATGGGGGACGGAGATTCGAGTAGAAGATCGACTACAAAATTGATTGACCCCAAATCGAGACTGCCATCGACTCCACAACAACACGATACACATAATGCTCCGTAGATCTACGGAGCATCCTGTGTACTTTGTTCGCAGATTCGGCCAGCAAATCAAGCTGGGGGTAAATCGATTCTGCCGTCGATCTCCAACTCGAGAAAACAAGAAGTATCGATACCACTACTCCTCGGACCTCCCCCCGGGGGTAAGCGTCCTGACCGGGATCTCGAGGCGAATCGAGCGCTGGCGACGAGAGCCTCCCCCGGGAGGCCGAAGAGGGGGACAACGGGCGAAGCGTGGCAGTAACTGCGTGCCCGTCCCTCCTCCGGGACGGGAGGCGGGTCGCCCAGGGCGACCCCGATGCTCGTCAGCAGCGTGGCGCCGCTGGGCGTGCGCCAGGAGCCGCTGTCGGGCCCGCCCAGCAGGAGGAGGGCCTGCTGGAAGGCCTCGTGGGCCCCCTCGGAGTCGCCGCCCTCGGCCTGCAGGGCGGGGAGGAGCGGGGAGGGGAGCAGCAGCAGCACGAGCAGCGGCACGGAGGGAAGAGGAGCGAGGAGGCGGAGAGGGAACCCTCTACGGCGGCGTTGTATTGTTCTCTGGGTCGGGCGGAGGGGCCCGGATTGGGCGGCTATCGGCCAGCCAGGCTAGGTAGCAGTGCGGGGCACGCACTCGCAACGAACAAGGAGAGAAGCAGGAACACCAGGAGAACAAAACAACGGGAGAGAAGGAGCAGCAGTAGGAGACCGACGAGGAGGACGATGACGAGGAGGGAAGAGGAGGAGAAGGATGGAATGAAGATGCGGAGAACATGAAGGATGGGGAAGATGGGGAGATGATGAGGAGGCTGGCGAGGAGCAGGAGAGGACGGCATGAAGATGCGGAGAACATGAAGGATGGGGGAGATGGAGAGATGAGGAGAAGAAGAAGCAGGAGGCGGAGGCGGACCAGAGGCGGAGGAGAAGGACAGGAGGACGATGAAGCGCTGTGTACTGCGCACGCGCGCTGCTATTCTTGCCCAAACGCAGCGAGGGCGCGAGAGCTTGGCACGATAGCGGCTTGCTCTGGCACCAGCGTTGCGTTGGGGACAGACGCTCGTTGTGCCGCCTGGCCGTTCAACAGCCAGCCAGACCTCACAGATAGGAGCTTGCGCTCTTACACCCTGGGGACCTGTGGGTGCGCAAAGGCGGAGCCAGCGTCGGCCTGGCAACCACTTGCCCAACAAACACTGATGCGGACCACGAGCGGTGAGAGGTGGAGGGAGGACGAAAAGGTAGAGGTGAGGAGGAGGAGGAGGAGGAGCGAAATGGAGGAGGTGCGGCGGCAGCAGGAGCAGAAGGAGGAGCAGGAGCAGCAGGAGCCAGAGGTGGGCGGGGAAAGAAAACCAGGCCAGCGGAAGCGCAGCAGAGAAGTCCCGCGCCGCTGGGCGCTTGCGGCCGCACCTTGGCAAACCCGATGTTGAGCAGCAGCTTCGCCCCGCCCAGGCTGTGCAAGCTGCCAGTCTGCTCACAGATCCGCCCTCCCCCTCCGCTGAGAGGCCCCCGGGCCCCCAGAGGGAGGGCGGCAGGAAACCACCATGTCGCGGAACCCTCCTCGCCCCCCGTTCCTCCTCGCCCCGCCTGGGGGAGAACGTTCGGGGGACACCCGCACAGGGGGGGGACATCGAGCTGGAATCGGCGATACATCGCCGACATGTCGGCAAGAGGGCTCCCGACCGCGAATCCACACGCTCCTGTGTGGAGTGGGCTATCAAGCCCCTATCGGCGAGGAATGGGCGATTGGGGGTCGATGCCTCCTCCCCCTGAACCTATCGCCCCCTCGCGTTGACTCTGGGGGGGTCCCAGGTATGGCCCGAACCGCCGCGCTCCCCGAGAAACGCCCCGACAGCAGCCCTTCGAACCAGAAAAATAGCCCGGCTGAGTGTTCTGCCAGCGCCCACGGGAAAAAGTGCCAGAACAGATTGAAAAAATCAAGGGGGCGCAGGCGTGCAGAAGGAAGCAGAGGGCCGCACGCTCGAAGAGCCTTGCCCCTGCGGCCCGCTCTGAAGCCCGAAATCGAATCCTCAAACAAATGACACCTGTTGGGTCGGGGATCTTCTGACCCGGGTCAATCCAGACCCGGGTCAGCAGGAAACCAAAAACTGCAATGCAGGAACAAAAAACTGCAACGCGGGTCTTCGCAAACCCGGGTCAGCCAAAATGTGCGGCCGCCTCGCGGCCACGAGCGGCTCGCTAACCCGGGTCAGCCAGAGGGGGTCTCCGCAGGATCCTGCAGGATCCGGTGCCGTGGCTGACCCCCGTTTGCACTGACCCCCGTCTCAAGGCTCCCGATTGGGGGGGCGCGGGCTTCCGCCGGCATCCCGCCAGCTTCCGCCAAGCCGCCCTCGTCTTGCTTCCGCCAGCCTTCCGCCGCCGGGAGATTCGTCCCTCGACCCCGCGAGGCCAAAGCCGGAAGCCCTTCCTGGAGCGGCCGCACCTCTGCGAGCTCCGATGAACCGCAGGCGAAGGCGGCGGGATGGCGAGAGAGCCCGCGCATCTGCTTGGACTCCGCGAACGCCCTCAGCGCCTCGCGGTGGGCGCCACGCGACCACTCCACGATGCCAATGTTCCTGCAGGCTGAATCCAAAGCCGGGCGGAGGCCAGCCAGGTAAGCGGTCAAAGCTGAGGGGGAAAGCACTGATTAAGAGACGTGCCAATGAGCATCTCACGGAGCGTTGGATATGGATATCCATCATGCCCCCGCCTCTCTACGGCCCCACCCTCCCCACCCACCACTGCCCAGACTTGGCCCCCCTCGGTGGGCTTCTCGCGACCTCTCCCTCGCAGGTCCGGAGCAGCACTGCGCCGTCCAGCGTGCACAGCGCGCCGGCGGCCACCCGCGCCCGCTTGGCGTCTTGGAAGGCGTCGGCCGCGCCGTGCTGGTCGCCCATCTGCCACCTCCCGAGAGCTCCGCTCCTCTTCCGCCCCCCCCCCTCCCCCATCCTTCTTCCCTGCTTCGTCTATGTCGTTGTGGTCGGCTGCCTCCTCCTCCTCCTCCTCCTCCTCCTCCTCCTCCTCCTCTTCCTCCTCCTCACCACCACCACCACCACCACCACCAGCACCGTCAACATCATCGTCATCATCATCATCATCATCATCATCATCATCATCATCAGCAGCAGCAGCATCATCATCATCATAATCATCATCATCATCATCATCATCATCATCATCATCATCATCATCATCATCATCATCATCATCATCATCATAAGCAGCATCATCATAAGCAGCAACAGCATCATCTTCATCAGCATCATTATCATCATCAGCATCATCATCAACATCATCAGCATCATCAGCATCAGCATCAGCATCGGCATCATCATCAGCAGCATCATCATAGAACCATCAGCAGCATCAGCAGCAGCATCATCCTCAGCAGCAAAAGCATCCACACCATCATCAGCATCAACATCATCAGCATCATCAGAATCACCATCACCAGCAACCTCATCATCAGAATCGTCATCAACGTCATCGTCACATGAATTAGCATCATCCGCATCATCATCATCATCATCATCATCATCATCATCAGCATAATCATTATCATTATTCCAAGCCTCAGCAACCTCAACTGCCTCATCAGTATCATCATCGTCCTCATTCTCATCATCACCATCAGCATTATCATCGTCATCGTCGTTATCATCGTCCTCGTCATCGTCATCGTTGTCGTCACCATCGTCATCGTCATCGTCATCATCATCATCATCATCATCATCATCATCATCATCATCAGTATCATCATCAACATCATCATCATCTTCATCCTCGTCCTAACCCTCATCCTCATCCTCATCCTGAACCTGAACTTGATCCTGATCCTCATCTTGCTCAGCCTCATCCGCATCCTCCTCCTCATCATCAGCATCATCATGATCGCCATCATCAGCATAATATTTATGTGTCATCGTCATCATGATATTCATCCTCCTCATCATCATCACCATCATCATCATGATCGTCATCATCATCGTTAGCATCATCATAATGAGCAGCTCCTCCATCATCACAATCGTCAGCATCCTCATCATAATCATCGGCATCACCATCATAATCATGTTCAGCATCATCACCACCATCACCACCATCATCATGAGCATCAGCATCAACATCATCATTATTATCACTGTCATCGTTATCATCATCAGCATCACCATCATCATTAGCATCATTATCATCAGCAGCATCGTCATTATCAACATCATCAACACAATCATCATCATCCGCATTATCATCATCACCATCAAGATCATCTGCATCATCATAATCATCAGCATCATTACCATCGTCATCATCCTCAGCATCACCACCACCGTCATGATCAGCATCGTCTGCAGCATCAGCATCAGCATCAGCATCAGCATCAGCATCAGTATCAGCATCAGCAGCATCATCATCAGCATCAGCATCATCATTGTCATTATCAGCATCTTCATGTCCCTCTTCCCTCGCGCGCTTCAGGCGGTCGCAGGCCGCCAAGGCCACGCGCCGCGGGCGCTGGAAAAGTCTGATCGAGGTCCGTGAGATCGCCTGCGGCGTGTAGCGGGTCGCTTGCGACGTGTTCCTAGGTTTTCTTCTCCCGATCCCCTTCTTTCTCCTCCTCCTGCTCCTCCCCATGGTCCGTGACCCTAATCTCTTACTCCTCCTCCGCACGGCCCTCAGTCCGTCGTCGTCCTCCCACAATCCTCTCGCTGCTGCTCCTCCCCTTCGTTTTTCAATTCGTCTTTCCATATTGAAATTGACATGTTGCCGTGCGACCCCGCAACCACTGCGGGCAGCGCGCAAGGAGATGCCTCAGAGAGACATCAATGATATATATATATATATATATATATAGAGAGAGAGAGAGAACCAACTACTGTCCGGAAGCTGCGTCATGCTGTATTCGGTAAGAAATCACCTGCCCTGTGGGCCACAAACATTTTAGATGCCCAATGCCGAGGTGATGCTGCTGCTCTATAGTTTGACGGTCCGAGCTAGGGCCAGGCCGCTGCAGAGAAGCCCAAGACGCATCAAATACGCCCCTAAAGCCTTCCTGGACGTCCACAGGGGACCCAATTATATCCTGTATTCCAACAGTGTCTCCAACATGGCCTCACGAGGGCCCCAGGGAGGCATCTGGCAGGCAGCCGAGAGGCCGCACATATCCATTGCGTCGTCAGTCCTGGACTTACACGGCCCAGGTCCTGCCCGAAACCCAGTCACTTCCAGAACTGCTGCCTGTGGGGCCTCGAGCGCGGTCGCGTTACGGACCCACGGGCGGCGAGGCGCAGGTGCACAAGAGGTTGAGTCGGGAAGCCCTCAAGGGTTCCCCGGCAGGCGTATGAGATGCGGAACCAGTGGGCAAACCATGAACTATACACATCCGCGCATCCGTTCCGCAACTGTCTCAACATCTTGTCCCAGGATTGGGGGGGCGCATCATCATCATTGCTTCGGGGGGCGCATCCCGCTGGACGGCATCATGGCCTGAGGCCGCCCAGGGACGGCTTGGAGACGACGCCCCCAAAAGACAGACATCGGAGGAACCAGCGCCGACACGAAGAGCAGGCACGGCATTCGAGGCCTGGGCCTCTCGTCTCAAGACGCCAATCCTCTGAACTCTCGTCTGGGGCGTGCGCCTGCCAGCAGCTCGACAGGGATCCGGCAGTGGCGACGACAAGCTCCAGGAGGAAGTTCCAACGATGCCACCCACCCACCCAAGACAAAAAACTGAGCCCCTAGACACTCGATCCTCGACCGCCATCGTCTGGGGAATAGGAGAAGGGCACGAGCCCGCGCGGGGGGTGGGGGGGACGAGGAGGAGAAGGAGGATCAAGAAAGCAAGGAGGAGGGAGAGGAGAAGGAGGACAGGGACGAGGGGGGGGGCGAGGACGAGAAGCAACGAGAGAAGGAGGAGGAGGAGGAGGAGGAGAATAAGGAGGAGGAGGAGGAGGAGAAGGAAGAGGAGGAGGAGGAGGAGGCATGGAGGAGGAACAGAGCAGGAGGAGGAGGATGGGGAGGAGCAGGAGGAGGAGGACGACGACGACGGCGACGACGAAGAGGACCGCACCTGGCCGCGCCGAAGGCCGCCGAAGGCCGCCGAAGGCCCCCGGTGGCCCCCGCAGGGCCCTCCTGGCCGCGCCCAGCGACGCGAGCAGCGTCGCGCCTGCCTCGGAAGACCTGAGCGAGCCCCGCAGGTTCATGGCGCCTCCGCGGCAGGTGGGAACGCGCTCGCCAAGAGGGGGGCGGACGGAGGAGAAGGACAGATGGCACGCTAGGACCTCATCTTCCTCCTCATCTCCCTCCTCCTCCTCCTCCTTCTCCTCCTCTTCCTTTTCGTCCTCTTCCTCCTCCTTTTCGTCCTCCTCCTCCTCCTCTTCCTCCTCCTTCTCCTCCTTCTCCTCCTCCTCCTTCTTATCATCATCATCATCATCATAATCATCATCATCATCATCATCATCATCATCATCATCATCATCATCATCATCATCATCATCATCATCAGCATCATCATCAGCATCATCAGCATCATCAGCATAGTCAGCATCATCATCACCATCATCATCAACATCAGCATCATCATCAGCATCATCGTCGTCATCATCATCATCCTCGTCCTCATTCTCCTCCTCGTCGCCTCTTTGCTCCTCCTCCTCCTCCTCTTCCTCATCCTCCTCCTCCTCCAAGTCCTCCACTTCCTCCTCCTCCTCCTCATCCTCCTCCTCCTCCCCCTCGTCATCAACATCATCATCATCACCATCATCATTTCATCATCATCATATCATAAACATACCCAGCATCAGATCAATCATCATCAGCAGCATCATCAGCAGCATCACCAATATAATCAGCAGCATCATAATAATCACCAACCGCATCAATATCATCAACATCATCATCAACAACTTGCCGTTATCCTCTGTTCCCTCTTTGCCCTTGTCCTCCGTCTCCTCCTTCACCTTGTCCTGCTCCTCCTCCTCCTCTTCGTCCTACCCCTCCTCCTCCTCCTCCTCCTCCTCCTCCTCACCCTCGTCCTCCTCCTCCTCCTCCTCCTCCTTCCGCTTCCACCTCCTCCTCCTCCTCCTCCTTCTCCTCCTCCTCCTCCTCCTCCTCCTCCTCCTCCTCCTCTTGCTCCTCGTCCTCCTCCTCTTCCTCCTCCTCCTCCTGGTCTTCCTCCTCCTCCCCCTCCCCCTCCCCCTCCCCCTCCTTCTCCTCCTCCTCCTCCTCCTCCTCCTCCTCCTCCTCCTCTGGATGCTGACCTCCCGTCTCGGGCCGCTCTGAGCCCAGAGAGCGGGGCACAAAATAGTGGCCCGCAGCACGTACGTCTTTTGCCGCAGGTGTGCCAGGTACGCCCGCGACAGGTGGACGGACCTTTTCTCCCCATGTCGCCCTGGGGCCCAAAGGGTGATCGGGGGTAGGCTGACGCGATTGTGGAGCGGGCTTCACCCCTCCACAAACCAGCCCCTGTAGGGGCTCCTGGAGTTTCGGGTTTTGGCTCGGGGACGGCCCGAAGCGGCCCGACGCTCCCACGGCACGAAAGCGTAGGCTGTCGTGTACCGTTTTGGCCCGCACTCATCCGCACTCCTCCTCCTCCTCCTCCTCCTCCTCCTCCTCCTCCCCCTCCCCCTCCCCCAGCTCCTCATCCTTCTCCTCCTCCTCCTCCTCCTCCTCCTCCTCCTCCTCCACTTCCGCTCATTAGTAATACGTTTACGTTTGTGCTATGGCATTGCCCATATTCTTCATGATTTGAATTAATCTTCTCCGCACTCGCACTATCATTGGTACGTTTGTCGTATTAGAATACATCGTATTACCATTCATAGTATCACTGATAGTATCACTATGATTGTTCATGTAGGGTTATTATTTGTCCTCATTCAATTATCCGTATAAGTGTTCGTAATGTTCTTATTCGAATGAATAGTCGCTTGCTTCTTCTGATGCGTCTTATGTTTCCTCTTACCTTAGCAATATGAGTATGATTGTTCTGCCTCCTCCTCCTCCTCCTCCTTCTCCTCCTCCTCCTCCTGCTCCTGCGGTTCATCTCTCCTCCTCTCTCTTTCTCTCTCTCTCTCTGTCCCTCTCTCTCTCTCTCGCTCTTCCTCTCTCTCTCGCAGCACCGCCGGGCACTCCCAGCCCGCGCCGCCGCGCCGTTGCGCGCGCGCCGCGGGTGGAGGCGCGGGGGGGCCCTGGTCCACCGGGGGCCCTATTTCCGAAGGGGCGGGTGAAAGGCTAACAGCCCGTCCTCTATGACGTCCTGGAGCCCACAGAGGGAGGAGAGGTATGCTGAGGAGCGGTCGGGCCGCTCATGGGATGCGGAGGTACAGCGCTACATTGAAGTGGATGTAGTATCTTGTGTGAAACGATGTACTTGTATACCCTTGCCCGTAGCGCTGTATTGTGTCATGTTCTACAGCTTCAAGCAAGCCAGTGTCACCGTAACTATTGTGGTCTACGGAGTGCCGCACGCTGGAGCCCGCACGTAGTGCCACCCAGCCAGCGGGCCTGTGACGGACGTCTCGCCCAGTTTCTCCACAACGTAATCGTGGCACGTCTTGCCGAGCCTGCCCTGTACTGCGTCGCCGATGGCGATCGGCTTATTGGTAGTGCAAGCCTTCCGAAGGCCTTGGGGTTGGTCACATGGACCTCGTGGTACATAGACTGGCCCTGGTAACTCTTCTCGTTTTCCCTGTAGCCCTGTACGTGGCTCCCGTAGCTTAGCGCGTGGGGGTCGCAGCCCAGCTGGTGGCCTTGGTAGCTCTGCTACCAGCCCTTGTAAAACAGCAGGGGCCTTGGTAGGACTCAACCTGAAGCCCTGGTAGCGCAACTTGTAGCCTCAACTGGTTGGCAATTCAGATCAGCTCTTTGCCCTGGTGGCTCTGCAGGAGGATCTCGGTCCCTGATTCACCCAAAGTGGTCCTTTTTGCTCAACGTGTTCACTGTGGGTAGAAGCCGCGGGTCTTTGATGTTCTTCCGCCACAAACATGTATGCTCTGTCGCAGCGAGAGCGGATCGCGCGCCGCGTTCGAGACCTCAGCGGGACCCCTGCTGGACGAATGCCGCACGAAATGGCGGGGAGAGGAGAGGAGAGAAGGCCGCAGCGACGGGCAAAGCAAAGCTTATAACCGCCGCCTGGTTTTCGTCGCAACGGACACGCTGCCACCGACAATTTGTATGCCTGGGGTGAGCCAGCCACGGGGCTGCCGCGCGTCCAGAGACGAACTGGCAGACAAGAGGCAAGATGAAGGTGAAGAAGGAGGAGATGCACGGGCGCTGTGCAAAGATCTCCTGCGGCCCAGCAGGCCGCCTGCATTCTTCTAGCTCACACCGCGACTGTCCTGGAGGGGAGGTATGAGAAGCGACAGAAGACAAGCCAGCGAGAACGACGAGCTGCAGCAGGCTCTGGCGAACACATCGGTAGAAAGCACGCGCACAAATATTGCAGCCACGCGGTGTAGACAACGGGGGAGAAAGAAATATAATGAGGGAGAGAAAGAGAGAGAGAGAGAGAGAGGGAGAGAGAGTGAGAGAGAGAAAGAGGAGAGGGAAGGCGAGGGACAACCTCTGACAACCTGTGAGAGAACGCGCCCGTGATAGACCCCCGCTCCAGAAGGGCGGGGGGGTCAGCCCTTAGCTGCGCCACCACCCCTTGGACCTCCCCTGCCCGAGCCCCCCGCTCCGTTTGTCCCGCCCCTCGGAAGCTGCCCATCCCATTCTCTGTCGCGCTCGGGAAGCTACACACACACATCCCTCCTTTTTGTTCCGCCTCTCAAGAATTCCCCTTCTCCACCCTCTCGCGCTCCGGAAGCAGCCCCCCCCGTCCCTTTCCAAAGCAGAGGGGGGCTTAGCTGGGCAGCTACCCCCCCCCCTTTTGAACCCCCCCCTGCTTGAAGCCACCCCACAACTCCCAACCTTTGGGGCTAAAGGGGGGGGGCTTGGAAGCCCCCCCCTTTGGCTAAAGGAAGGAGCGCCGAAGACCAAAAGGGCTCCGAAAAACATCAGAGCGCCGAAAACCAAAGAGCCACCAAAAATCGAAAGGGTGAGAACAAAAACGAAAGTGCGCAAGAAACCAAAAGAACGCCGAAAACAAAAAGGGCGCCGAAAACCGAAGGTGCGCCAGAAAAACAAACAGCAAACAACGAAAAAACGAAAACCAAGATGAGCGCCAAAAACAAAAAGAGCGCCGAAAAGCAAGGGGCGCCGAAAAACAAAAGGCGCCGAACATGAAAGGGGCGCTGAAAACAAAAGAAGCACCGACAACCGAAAAAGGTTCCTAAAACCAGGAGGGCGCCGAACAATCGAAGGGCGCCGAAAACCAAAAGAGCGCCGAAAACCAGAGCAGCGGCGAAAACCAAACGGGCACCGAAAACCAAAGAGCACCGAAACCCAAAAGGGGACAAGAACCAAACGGTCGTCGAACTTGGAAAGGACACCAGAAACCAAAGGGGCGCCGAAAACCAATAGGGCGCCGACAACCAACGGGTCGCCAAACACAGAAAGGGCACCGAATACCAAAACGGTTCCGAAAACGGAAGGGCCGACAACCAAACGAGCATCGAAAACCAAAACGGCGCCGAAAACCCAAGGAGCGCCGAAAACCAAAAGGGTACCAAAAACCGTACGGGCGCCGAGAACCCAAGGAGCGCCGAAAACCAAAAGGGCTATGGAAACCAATACGGCACCGAAAACCAAGGCGCAGGAAACCAAGAGGAGGCCGAAAACCAAAAAAAAACACGAACACCAAAAAGGGCGCCGAAAAACAAGAATGCACCGAAAACCGAAAGGGCGCCGAAAACCTCAAGAACACCGAAAACGCAAGGGCGGCCGAAGACCAAGAGGGCGCCGAAAACCAAAGGGGCGCCGAAAACCCAAGGGGCGCAGAAAACCAGAAGGAACGCCGAAAACCAAAGGAGCGCCGAAAACAAACGATGCGAAGAAAACCACAAGAGCGTCGAAAAGCGCAAAAGGGCCACCGATAACCAAAAGGGCGCCGAAAACGAAAGGGGCGCCGAAAACAACGAAATCCCAAAGACGACAGGGCGCCGAACACAAAAAGGGCGTCGAAAAAACATGGGGCGCCGAACACCAAAGGGCACCGAAAACCAACGATGCGACGAAAACCAACGATGCGCCGAAAAAACCAGGGGCGACGGAAAACGAAAGACGTGCGGATAACCAAACGGGCGTCGAAAACCATAGGGCGCCGATAACCAAAAGAGCGCCGAAAGCACAAGGGCGCCCAAAATCAAAGGGGCGCCGAAAACCAAAGAGCGCCGCAAACCAAAACGGCGCGTAAAACAAAAGGGGCGCCGAACACCAAACGGCGCAAACCAACAGAGCGCCAAAAACCGAAGGATGCGCAGAAAATCAAAAAGGGCGTCGAAAACCAAAGGAACGCAGAAAACCAAAGGAGCGCCGAAAACACAAAGAACGCCGAACACAGAAGGAGCGCCGAAAACCAAAGGGGCGCCAAAGGCCCCAAAAGCGCCGAAAACCGAAGATGCGCCGAAAGCCAAAGACGCCAGATAAACACCAGCACGCCAAAACCAACGGGGCGCCGAAAAACAAAAAGGAAAGTAGCTTCGGAGCCCCCGTTCCAGCCAGGGTCCTCCAGCTGGAAAAGCCAACAGAAGGAGGGGAAGGGTGAGCGCATGAAAATAGACCCCGCCCCCCACATGAAGAATTTTAGACCAATTCGACCGTCAAACGACGTGCGAACTGCGAGCGGAAGCCGCTCGACGGTCAGCCAACGACAACGCCGCGCAATTCCATGCGCGCGGCGCGCTGCTGCTATGCTCATCGGCGTTTGAACTTGCCGCTGCCTCGTGCTGACGCGCGGTCAATGCCCAATGTCATTGCGGATATTCACGCGCTCGTGCCGGGCAAAAACCAAGGAACGCGTCGGCCCTTGGCGGCGCTCACAAGAGCCCAGGACGGCGCCAGGGGCCCACCGCGCGCGGGCGCGCATCGAGAAGTTTAGATCAAAAAGGAAGAACAAAGTTTAGGCATCAGGCGAACAAATATGCAGCAATCGGTCTGAACTTCTCCGAAGCGGAAAGTCTCGCGCGGGAGGGCCCCGAACAGTTCATATAAATAAACAGCCGGATTTACAAAAACATCTAAAACACTTTATCTCGGACCAATTGTAGAGGCCTCCTAGATGGGGTCCGAGCAGATGGGGTCGGAGGGTCGCGCCGCATCGGCGATGCATCGTCGACGTGGGCGATGCATTGGCGACGCTGGCGCGGAGAAAATCGGGCTCCGCATCGCGCCGCATCGCCGATGCATCTGCGACGCGGCGCGATCCTCCGACCCCATCTACTCGGGTCCCATTTTGGAGGCCTAGAAATTGCCTCAAGATAAGCGCCCCCGATCTAAACTTTCCCGTCGGCGGGGCTATGAGGGGGCGACGGAGGCGGAGGCGGCGACCCTCGGCTGGGCCACTGGCGCTGCCGTGCGAGGGACAGCGCCGCCGTTGCCGCAGACTGCAAGCCGCGGCCGTGGCACTCGCGGCCCCGGGAATGCCGGCGCGGACGCGGGCGCGTCGAGCGGGCCCAAGACGTCGCCGCGCGCTCGGGGCCCCCCTGCGGCAGCCGGCAATGGCCTTCTACAGGGCGCCTACATGTACGCACGTTCGCAATACATGCAAGAGGTTGGCATGTAGAATCAGTAGTTGTGCGGGCTGGGGTTGGTTTCCCGCTGTTCAAGGGGGGGGGTACCTTCGGAAGCCCCCCCCCCCCTTTGGAAAGGGGAGCCCAGGCTGACCCCGGGCCCCGAAAAGGAGGGGTGCTTCCAAGCCCCCCCCCCTTTAGCCAGGGACCCCCTAGCTACAAAATCCAGACAGAAGGAAGGGGGGGTAGCTTCGGAAGCCCCCCCCTTTTTGAAAGGGGAGCCCGGTTTCACCCCGGGCCCCAGAAAGGGGGGAAGGGGGGCAGCTTCCGACCCCAGCTAGAACAACCCCAGCTAAACAGTACAAACAAAAGGGGGGGAGGGGGGGAGCTTCGGAAGCCCCCCCCCATTTTTCCAAGAGAGGGGGGTAGCTTGAAGCTGGGCCCCCCTTTTAGTGAGAACTGTGCCTCGAGCGCGCTCCTTCCAACCTGTCTGCCGATGTTCCTCTCGGTCAGTCTGCGGACCGAGAAGGACATCAACGAGGAAGATGCACAGGGTAGGTATAGGTGGCTCCATGCCCTCGATTGATAAAGCGCGCATGATATCGTCCTCGTTGGTGCCCCTTCTCGGCGATGGCCACGGTCACATGACTGGTTTCCACACCGACGCACGCGAAGGCCACTCGTAGTCTCGATGCTGCAGTCACCGTGCACAACCGTCTGAGCAAACACAGACACACCCGTTCCAGGATCGACACAATCATGGTCCACCCGAGACTGTCCGGGGCTACCCGAGTCGATCTGGGCGCCTAAGACTACGACAGCTGCCAGGACACAGGCATTCCCCGTAGGCTCCGAGCAGCACGCTAGCTGGGAGGATGGGCTCTGGGCAGAGTGCGGCGGGGGGGGGGTGCAAGGGAGGCTGCCTATCTCGTCCTCCAGCTTCCTCTTCTCGGCCTGCTGCTCGGCGCTGCGGAACCCGGCTCTGCCAGCGACGGAGAGCATACCTCCCCCAAGGCAGAGAAAGCCCGCGCGGCATCAGGATGGCTTAGGGAGTTGGCTTCTCACAGCAGAAAGGATAAGCCCTCGCGGGGCTACTCGACCATGCCTGCGGCCTCCTTCCCCCGCTTTGCGCAGTTGTGCCCCGCAGGTTCCTCGCCAAAGCTCTCCTGCGCCTCCTCGGGCGCAGCCCCGCCTCATCCGCCTCCTCCGCCTCCTCCTCCTCCTCCTCCTCCTCCTCCTCCACCTTCTCCTCCTCATCCTCCTCCTACCCACCAGTGAAGTGAGGAGGGGGGGGGATCGAGACGGGATGAAGGGGAAGGCACGGCGAGCCGGGTGGACGGCAAGCGGGGGGGGGGGGGATTGCGAGCCGGCCCTGGCAAGACCTGCACTGCCCCCGAGGGGCCGCGCCAGGCCGCCCGCGCGCACGGAGAGGAGAGCGAAGAAACCTGTCTGGCACCGCGCGCTTCGGGTCTTCCGCCCCCCTTCCCAGCCCGCCTTCCCGCCATACACACACACACACACAAACAAACAAAAAAAACACTCCTGCAACCACGCTTCGGGGCTGCCGCATCCACACTGTCAGGCACTTTACTCAGCAAGCGGACGTTTCCGGCTCCTTTTCCTCGACACCAGCTCACCTCTTCCCCTGCATCAGCCCCGTCCATTCTGCATTCGTACGCTTTAACGCTCGCGCCTACCATGGTCCCCGTCCGTTCCGCTTCGCTTCTTCCGCCCCACCCCGCCCCTTCTTCTATCCAGCCTGATTTCCCTCCCACACCCCACATTGCCTCCGCTGCCTCTCTGTCGGTCCTCTGCACGCCACGGTCGAAACTTTCCCTCTCCTCATCGGCCTCTTGCACACGACGATCGAACCTTCCCCCTCCACTGGCCATTTGCAGATCGAAGGCGAGACTCCCCTCCCCTGCCCCAGGTGGCACTCGGACAAGCGCAGCGGATGCGTACGGACCGCCTTGCCCGATTGGGGAACGGGAGGCCCGAAGCAGACCCCTGGGATCGTGCCTCCCCCCCCTCCCACCGACCCCTCCCCTTCCCTTCCCTCCCCTGCTCCCGCATCGCCTGCCCCCTCGACTCTCCTCCCCGACCCTGGCACTTCTTCAGCTCCTCTCCCACGTGCTGCCTATCCCCTCCCCCGTTCCCCTCCCCCTCCACCCTCCACGCTCCCCCTCTTTCGTCCGAGGAATGCCCCTCCCCCTCTCCTTCTCCGCCCTCCTGTTCCCGTGGGAACATGAACCGCACGGCCAGACCTTGGACAGATGAACATCCTTCAGGAACATGAGACCCTCCGCTGGCCCAAGCTGAAGAGCATTCGACGGTGCCCTCCACCACGATGCACTAGAACATCCTACGAACACGAAGGCCATTGGGGTACACTCCCCGAACCAACCGCGGTCTCATACCTCGGTCCGACCGTATTCCTTCCACGATTCCTTCACGTCAGAGGCGCTCGTGATGGGCCTCGATGTCTCTGCTGCACAGTCAGTCTGCTGCCGCACTTCGAACCATTAGCATGCTCAAGCCTTGCCCAGCCGAAGCGACGAGAGAGCGACGGCGCCACCGCAGGGGACAAGGAGTCAGCGCGTGGGGGCTTACAGGCCGCATCCCCCATCCTGCTCCTCTCGATCTCGCCATGCCTCTGTCCCGCGGGATAAGAAGGAGACAGGACGAGGATACAATCGGCTGAGGATCAATCGAGAATCTCTGAGATCCGGCGGCTCTGCAGGATGTCTCGGGCGCCGCGGCCTACTCAGAGCACCCGGACCAGATGTGGATTGTATTTGGGACCCGAGTTAGACCGGAGTTGGACCCGAGTTGCACCTTCACAGGGGAGGCGAGGAGAGCAAGGAGGGGGAGGGGGGCAGCAAGGGGGAGGAGAAGCACGGGGAAGGTCCAAATGCGGTCCAAGTGCAGAGAAACAGCTGACTCAGTGTCCCCGTCCAAGGCTCCCATGGACGGACGTGGCCATCCCATTTCCTCCCTCGAGACATGGCCGTGCTTGTTTCTGCTTCGAGCCGCAAGACGTTTGGGCATGCCGGCACCCACCCTTCCGAGACCGCTGGCGCCAGGCTGGCCCGCGGCGGCGTCCACGGACAGCTGGAGCCCGTCCTCGCCGCCGCGTGGGGGGGGGGAGGGAGGCCGAGAGCCCAGGGCGCCCTTGGCCGCGCCCTCGAGAGAACGACGCCGCATCGTCGTCGTCGTCGCCGTCGTCGTCGTCGTCGTCGTCGTCGTCGTCGTCGTCGTCGTCGTCGTCGTCGTCGTCGTCGGCGTCGGCGTCGGCGTCGGCGTCGGCGTCGGCGTCGTCGTCGTGTTGTAAGGATCATCCCTGGAAGCCTCGCGCTGCAACTTGAGACCCAGTGTACGCCAGATCCGCGTCGGATTCGCGTCGGATCACGTCGCGTGCACGCCGGATTCACGTCGGAGACTTACGTCGGAGCTTCACCACGCGAGCGTGGACCCATGTCCTACGAAGCGGACGCGTGGACAATAGATGATGCAATTATTGCGCGCCGCGCCAGGCCTCCATACGCCACGAGTCGTGGCGTGTGGAGAGGAGGCAGAGGAAACTGAACGCAATCGCCCGACAAACATCCGATCGTCAACGTACCATGTATTACGCTCGCTCCACGAGCACATGCCGCAATGCGTGCATCGACCCCGTTGGGCAGCCCCCCCGCCCCCCCCCCGCCGTAAACTGTTGCTGGACGGAAAACCGGAGACAAACTTCCCCTCTTGAGAGCGCGAGACGTGTTGCCAGAGAAACTACCCCAGACCTCATCGCAACGTCAAACCCACGGCAGAAAATGGCTCGCCATTTTCGGGAGCGGCCAAGAGGGGGGTGTCCAAGAGGGGGGGGGGGGGGGGGGCAAATCATGACCGGCGGCATGTGCGCGGCCCAGCGGGGGGGCCTGGGACGTAATGAAACAAGAAGCGGCGCCACGAAATCTGGGGAAATATCATGCCCCCCGCCATGATATCCACCCCCCCCTAGTCATCACCCCCCTCTTTTCCGCCCCCGAAATTTTCGGCCTCGAGAGGCTCTCACCGAACCCCCGGGACCGTCAAAGAACTACTCCGGACGACGAGCTGGCCCCAGGGAAAACTCGTGACCTCCGGGGGGGCCGGCGCTCCGAGAGAAAAAACACACCAGGCCGCAGGGGGTCTGCGACCTGGCTTCACGCTCTGCCTCGTCTGGCAAGCTCGTGCCACGGAGGAGGAGGAGGAGGAGGAGGAGGAGGAGGAGGAGGAGGAGGAGGAGGAGGGGGAGGGGGTGGAGGAGGGGGAGGAGGAGGAGGAGGAGGCTCTCACCGAACCCCGGGACCGTCAAATCACTACTCCGGACGACAGGCTGGCCCCAGGGAAAAATCGTGACCTCCGGGGGGGCCGGCGCTCCGAGAGAGAGAGAGAGAGAGAGAGAGAACAAAAAAAAAAAACGCCAGGTAATTAGCAGGGGCCTGCGACCTTTGCCTCACGCTCTGCCTCGTCTGGCGAGCTCGTGCCGAGGAGGAGGAGGAGGAGGAGGAGGAGGAGGAGGAGGAGGAGGAGGAGGAGGAGGAGGAGGAGGAGGAGGAGGAGGAGGGGGTGGAGGAGGAGGAGGAGGAGGAGGAGGAGGAGGAGGAGGAGGAGGAGGAGGAGGAGTGCACCGCTCCACACTGAACGATCACGGCTGTTCGGTAAAGCGGATCATTCCATTCGGCGGCGAGCCTAGGGGGGGGGGGGAGCCGAGAGGGGGGCGGGCCCTCTCGGGGCCTCCCGGGCCCCCCGGGCCTTCTGAGAGGCCGCCTCTGCCTTCGGAGGAGGATCAGGAAGCTTATCGGAGGGCGCGAGGAAGTCTGAGAGGCCCCGCCGCCTTCTGAAAAAGCCTGCCCCCTTCTCAGTCCCCCCCTGGGCTCGCCGCCGATCCATATCGATGGTGCAAGGATGGGGTCCTGAGGGCTGGGGACCTCAGGGTAGGATGGGATCTAGGGGTGGATTTACGTTGGTAGAGGCACCTCGTCCTCAGGACCCCATCCCTCAGGACCACGTCTTCGAACCACCGACCATATCGGCCGACTGTGGGCCGCTGGAAGTGTGCCACCGGCGGCCATCAACCCTGGACGCCCGCGCCAGGGCCGCCGCAGCGCCAGCGCGGTGTCCGAGCATGCCGTCGTGCTGCGGCGGCACGTCGCTCACCGTGCGGCCTCGGCGTCGGTGCACTGCTTAGCCTGGTTGTTTCAATGAGCGCATCTGTGAGCATTGATGACAACACCATGGGACGTTGGATGCGAGAGCGGGACCGATACGTCGTACCATTTTTAGACTCCCGTCTGGCGCCGCTCCAACGCGGTGCGGTGCATGGTTTTTCGGCCCTGAAGATCGACGACGCTTCGGGAGACGCCAACACGGTATCGTCTATACAAGTCGTCTGTGGATCAGAGCCAGAGCCGATATGATGTCCATAGAGCGCGGCCATTGTACCTCACCACATCGCGACTGAACCATGTGTTGAAACAGAAGGCCGGCAGGCGAACCCATAACGCATCAGGAGCCAACCTCCCAGAGGCGGCCCCATGCAATGAACCCTCTCTTGCGAGACCAGGCGCGGTGTGCTGTGCGTGCATCTTCAGCTCGATCACGATTGCCCGCATCAAAGCATGGGATGCAGAAGGACATACTAGCACTGTGTGTCCTCCTCCTCCTCCTCGGAGGAGGAGGCGAGTGTCCGACCCGAACATATAATACAATCATCTTGTAGTATATCGTTTTCCGAGCGGTGCGGCCAGAACGCGCCCGCCACGAAGCCTGTACTATAAGACTTCTCGGCGAGCGCGTCGCACCACGGGGGGGGGGGGGGGGCGACGCACACAGAGTATTAGTATGGTGGGGTGACGCCGAAAGCAAGCGTAGGGGCCTCGGCGTCAGCACATAGGCCCCCTTTTCTGCTCCGGCCTCTCCCCCGCCGTCCTCCTAGCACCTTCCACCCTACACAACCTGCTGCTGGAGCCTTCTCGGCCTCCTCTGGGGGTCCCACTCGGCCTCGATCAGGACCACACCGCAAAGAATGACACAAAGAGCTCGACCAAGCCCAAGATGAGATTGTTGCCAGCTTTCACGGATTCCACCGACCAGCTCAAGAGTGTTCACCTCTCCAGACGGGCACGCGGGGACGAGCCCTTACGGACGTTTTAATTGCTCCTCCCATCGCGTCTCTGCGACGTGATTTGCAGTGCACATGTGTTCTTGTGCCCGCTTGTCCGTAGATCGCGCGTTTGGGATAGCCCCCCTGAGGAGCAGCGGATTGATTGATATGTGCTTCCTGATTGTTTGCTTGGAAAAACAAAACCCAGCTTTCGGAAATGCGTCTCGCCTCGGAGGGCTTTGCGCCCCAGCACCCTCCAGTGCAGCAGCAGACGGCCCTGCAGGATGATGATGCAGAGCTGGAGGATACAGTCGGGGCTGCTTGGAGAGGACACGCGAGAGGACACAGGACCCTTCCGAGGGCCACATGGCCACAGGAATGCAAAGGCATGAGGCGCGAAACACAGGACACAAAGGCACCTCCTAGTCGGCCTCGACTGCATCAGCAGGGCAGCGGCCGGAGGAGCGCATGCGTCAGGCAGGAGCGCGCGAGTGCCCCAACAGACATGCAAGGGTACGCAGGGCAGGGGCCACAGCTCTGCACGCGGGCACTGCGCGGCGGAATGTGTCTCCAGCAGAAGCGCCCGGCGGAAGTGCTGAAACGGGGGCCACTGCATGATGCGCGTGTTTTCCACCACCGCCACCATAAGTTGGAGGGGGGGGTCCTCCTCCGCCTCCTCCTCCTCCTCCTCCTCCTCCTCCTCCTCCTCTTCGTCCTCCTCCTCCTCCTCCTCCTCCCCTCCCCCCTCTTATGGTGGCGGTGGTGGAAAACACGCTCATCAACTGCATGCCCTTTGGCTCAGGGCCACCCTGGAAGGCACACATCTGCAGCACGAGTCGCCTGTGCAGCCCCGCGGCTCTGGGCGGCCGTGGGCCTGCCGAGGATGGCGCTCCAGCGCGGCGGCAGTCTCGACCGGCACACGAGCACCACTCGCTGCTCCTCCCCCCCCCTCCTTCTTCTCCTCCTTCTCCTCCTCCCCCTCCTCCTCCTTCTCCTCCTCCCCCTCCTTCTCCTCCTTCTCCTCCTTCTCCTTCTCCTCCTCGCTTCCTCCTCCTCCTCCTCCTTCTCCTCCTCCTCCTTCCCCTCCTCCTCCTCCTCCTCCCCCTCCTCCCCCTCCCCCCCCCTCCGGAGGCCACTCGTGGGCGGCCTTCGTAAGAACGGCTACGGGCTACTGAGCCCGTTCAAGCGGCCACTCCGCCAGATCATGCCGTATTGAGCAGAGGACTGAACGGGATGACGCAAGATGAAGCAGGATCAAGCGGCATTATGCAGGGTCAGCCCGATTTTCGACCACGGATACAGCAGCGCCAGTGCGGAACTTAACCTCCCAGGAGCAGCATCCTAACTCCCCTCCCCCTTCTCCCTCTCCTCATTGGCCTCCTCCTCCTCCTCCTCCTCCTCCTCCTTCTCCTCCTTCTCCTCCTCCTCCTTCCCCTCCTCCTCCTCCTCCTCCTCCCCCTCCTCCCCCTTCCCACCCCCCTCAGGAGGCAACTCCTGAGCGGTCTTCGTAAGAACGACTCGGGCAGCGCCAGTGCGGAATCCAACCTCCCAGGAGTAGCATCCTAACTCCCCTCCCCCCTTCTCCCTCTCCTCATTATCCCGCTCCTCCTCCTCCTCCTCCTCCTCCTCCTCCTCCTCCTCCTCCTCCTCCTCCTCCTCTTCCTCCTTCTCCTCCTCCTCCTCCTCCTCCTCCTCCTCCCTCCTTCTCTTCCTCCTCCTCCTCCTCCTCCTCCTCCATCATCATCATCATCATCATCATCATCATCATCATCATCATCATCATCATCATCATCATCATCAGCAGCATCAGCATCATCATCATCATCATCATCATCATCATCATCATCATCATCATCATCATCATCATCATCATCATCATCATCATCATCATCATCATCATCATCATCATCATCATCATCATCATCATCATCATCATCATCGCCTCCCTTCGTGTCACGAAGTGCATTGTCGCTTATCTTAACGTCTTAACTTCCTACCCCACCTCCGCCTGCTCCCCCTCCCCCTCATCCTTCCTCTCCTCCTCCTCATCATCATCCTCCTCCTCCTCCTCTTCCTCCTCCTCCTCCTCCTCCTCCTCCTCCTCCTCCTCCCTCCTCCTCCTCCTCCTCCTCCTCCTCCTCAGCATCACCACCACCACCACCAGCACCATCATCGGCGATTTTACCAAGCGGCGTCCTGCAGCATCCCCATCGCCCGCCGGTGCATGTTCGCCTCGCGGAGCTGCCAGCCGATCAGGTCGCAGACCCGCGCGGCGAGCTCTCCTGCCGGGTCGGGACCGTCCCGAGCTGCTGCCGCACCGTGGAGAAAGATCGCGACGGAACGGCGCCCTCTGTTCGCAGTTTCGGCCCCTGAGAGGTGGCCTCTCCTCGACCCCGGGGGGCACCTGGGTCGCCCAGCTTGGCGCAGCGCACCTCGCGATGCGCGACGCGCGATCGTCTTCGCGCCACCTCGCGCTGGCCCCTGAGAGAAGGGCAGCCGCTCTGACCCAGACCGCGACGCGCAGGCGCGATTCTCTCTGCGCCCCCGCGGGTGACCGAGCGGAGCGTCGACCGAGCGGCCCGACGAGAAACGCAGCCTTCGTGGGACGAGGTCGGGAGCGCCTGCAAGCCGTGCAACAGAGGGGAGCACCACGCCGGAAAACATCGTCTTTCGGAGGTCCGCGCGGATTTCTTGGATCGGCGCCGGGCACCCCCCTCCCCGGCGCGCGAGGGGGGCGAGCGCCGATCCAAGAAATCCACGGGGACCTCTGAAAAATGATGTGTTCTCCAAGTGCACTGTTTTTCGAAAAAAGGGGTCGTGCGAAGTTGAATGGGACCTGGGACACACAAATGAATATACCTAAATAACAGGATTCCCCATGTTTTCCCATATGCCCTGGGTTTTTGTCTTCCCCCCCACTTCCCATATTTCCCTACCTAGGCTCTGCCTAGAAGGGTTCTTACTCTGTTAGCTTAAAGGGGCTGGGCAGTGGAAAGCGCCCCGGGCGGTTCCCCCAGTCCCCGCCCCGCGGTTCCCCCAGTCGCGCCCCCTTAGCTTGGCTTACGTCTTAGCTTAGCTTGGCTTAGCTTAGCTTGGCTTAGCTTAGCTTAGCTTGGCTTACCATAGCTTAGCTTAGCTTAGCTTAGCTTAGCCTAGCTTAGCTTAGCCTAATGTAGCTTAGCTTAGCGTAGCATGGCATAGCATAGCACAGCATGGCATAACATAGCACAGTATTGCATAACATAGCTTAGCATAGCTTAGCATAGCGCCCCCTTAGCTTGGCTTAGCTTATATTGTCTTAGCTTAGCTTGGCTTAGTTTAGCTTAGCTTTAGCTTAGCTTGGGCTTCACACTAGCTTAGCTTTAGCGTAGCATTAGCTTAGCTTTAACTTAGCTTCAACTTAGCTGTAGCTTAGCTTTAGCTTAGCTTTAGCTTAGCGTCAGCTTAGCTCCAGCTTAGCTTTAGCTTAGCTTTAGATTAGCTTTAATTTAGCTTCAGCTTAGCTTTAGCTTAGCTTCAGCTCAGCTTTAGCTTAGCTTTAGCTCAGCTTTAGCTTGGCTTTGGCGTTAGCTTAGCTTTAGCTTAGCTTTAGCTTAGCTTTAGCTTAGCTTTAGCTTAGCTTTAGCTTAGCTTTAGCTTGGATCTACAGTTACTAATGCTGCTTTCCTAGGGGTTCCAACTCCTAGGTAGGGTCGCACTGGGATAATCTTGAATATTTTCTGGGGAATCGACGATGAATTGTGTCTGTGTTTTTTCCCTCCCGAGAAGTGGTCGCAGGTCGCGTCGGAACACCCGCGACCCGCTGGCCTGCGGCCCCTGCCACAGGCCCGTGCGCACGGCAGGCCCGGCGCCGGCGGCTCTCGAGGCTGCGCGCAGAGGGGGGCGAAGGCGAGGGCCAGCACTCGATCGGCTCGGGGCGGGCAAGCAGCCGAGGGGCAGGCAAGGGCGGGAGAGGAGGGGAGCCAGGGGGGAGCCGAAAGACGACGACGGGGAGGCACGGGGCGACCAGGGGCAAGAGCAGGGCGAGGAGGAGAGGGGCTCAGCCCATCTGCAGTCGGGCACTGCGCGATGTCGCAGGCAATCGGGGCGCAAAGGGAAGGGGGAGAGGTAGGGAGAGGGAAGAGAAGGGCGGAGGAGAAAAAGGCCGAAGGACTCGGGAAAGCTGCGCTCATGCGGCCCACGCCGAGGACAAGAATCGCGCGACGAAAAGTGCAGGAACACATTCTCGAACGAACGCGCGCTGGACGTCTCAGAGGGCGCTCCCAGCGCTGAAGTCCGAAGCTGAAAATGGAGCGATGGACGGTCTTTCGATCGAGGAGGAGGAGGAGGAGTAGGAGGAGGAGGAGGAGGAGGAGGAGGAGGAGGGACGGAAGAGGAGGAGGAGGGACGGAAAAGGAGGAGGAGGAGGAGGAGGAGGAGCAGGAGGAGAGGGCGGCGACGGCGGCGACGACGAGGACGAGGACTCCCCGATGCCGGCGCCCCGCCCGGCGTATCCCGCGAGCTCGCCCGAGGCCAGCAGCCGCCTCGCCTGCCCCTCCGCGGCGGCCGCCAGCCAGCCGCGGAGCCGCCTGGCGGCGGGGCCCCGGCGGGCGAGGCGGGGGCGGGGGCCTGTGGACTGCGCACCTGACTCGACCGCTGGCCGGTCCTCGACCGCCGCCCTCGACGCTCGATCCTCCCCCTGCTGCCCGCTGCAGGCCGCCAGGCCCCCGATGCCCCCGCCCCCGCCCCCTTGCCAGGCATCGGGCACCGTGGGGTTCAGGGCGGCCCCGAAGTGCAAAAGCTCTCCGTGCGCGGGGATTGTGGATTGCGCACCCGGTTCGGGTTGAACGTGGGCACTCAGCACGCCAGACAAAGGGGCCGCGGCCCCGGGGCCAAAGGCTGCGGGCGAGCGCCGTGGCCAGTCGCGGGGAGGAGGGGAGGGGACGCGCGCGGGTGCGCCGAGGCCCTTCTGGGAGGAGGGGAGGGGGGCGAAAGGGGGAGGGAGGGAGGGATGGAGGGGAGGATGGAAAGAGGGATGGAAAGAGGGAGGATGGAGGAGAAGGCAGCACAGAGGAGATATGCGGAAGAGGAGGAGGAGGAGGAAGAGGAGAAGAAGGAGGAGGAAGAAGAGGAGGGGGAAAAGGAGGGGGAGGGGGAGAGGGAGGAGGAGGGGGAGGACTAGGAGGAGGAGGAGGAGGCTCAACTGACGCATGGAATATAACAACTAAACTAGCGGAGGTTCTCGAAGATTTCTGGTGTCGGCGCCAGACCCATCCCCACACCCCTTGCGGTTGGCGGCGTCTGCGGACAGGACCTGGAGGCCCAGGAGTTCGGGTTGAAGCTAACGCAGAACAGCCGAGCAGTGTCGCGAAAGGTGAGTTCCGCCGCCAGTCGGGCGGGCATCACGAGCAGCTTCTAAATGGTCCTGGGGCGTTTTATCAGTGCAAGTGCCCTTAGTGATATTTGGGTGTACCATGCGAGAAGCAGGAAGGAGGGAGAGGAGGCGGAGTGTCTTCGAGGAGGGAGAGAAAGAGGAAGACGAAACACTGTATCAGACAAAACAACCCGCGAAACAAAGGATGCCAAGAGGACATTGGAAGTCGAGAGCGATCCGCAACGCTACTCGCCCTCTGCAAAGGCAACGCAAAGGCAGAAGCCCCACATCGCCGCTGCTACGTACGTCGGCGGGGTCCACACTTTGCCCACCTGGCCATTTGTGGTCCGCACGGGAAACCCCGACGACAAAAAATACACATCTCTTGGGGGTGGGGGGTCATTCGTTACTCCTGCTTACCTTTCACCGGCTTCCACCAGCGGAGTCGACCACGCTGTACTTCCGACGCCTTCCGCTGGCCTTCCGCCGAGGAAAAGAAACAAAACGCATCGACTCCTCGAAGGTGAGGGCCTTTTATGGAGCTCCTCCTATACGGAGGATGAAGAAGAGCACAAGAGGAGAGAGGAGGATCGAGGATCGATGCGTTTGGGACGCCTCCAGCATTTGACAGGTGCCAGGGGCGTCGGGAAACCCCTGGGGGACTGGAGACACCCGGAGACCTCTGGTACGCCCAGAGACCTCCGTCGGGAGCAGCGGGAGGAGGAGAGAGAGGAGGGGGGAGAGGTCGGAGGTTATGGGCCAAAGGGTCCTAGAGCTTAGCATGACCGTTCTGGCAGAGGATGCTCAAACTGGAGAGAGGCAGCGAAGGAGGGGGTGGGACCACCTCCCCAGGGCGGATGCCGGCCGGCTGTCTGTCCCCCTCAGGCCCGCAAGACTTCGGGCCTCTCCTTCAAGCCGGCGTCCAAACTAACAATCGCGTCTTCCTCCTGCTCCTCCAACTCCTCCGCCTCCTCCTCCTCCTCCTCCTCCTCCTCCTCCTTCTCATGTTCCTTCTCCTCCTCCTCCTCCTCATCATCATCATCATCAACATCATCAACATCATCGTCATCATCGTTATCGTCGTCGTCATCGTCACCGTCATCGTCATCGTCATCATCATCATCATCAGCATCGTCATCAGCATCATCATCACCATCATCATCACCGTTATCATCAGCATCATCATCACCATCATCATCACCAGCAGCATCACCAGCAGCATCATCGTCATCATCATGGTCAGCATCATCAGAATTCGCATCATCAACAGCACCATCACCGCAGTCACAACCACCACCAACAGTATCATCGTCATCAGCAGCAGCTTCATCATGATCACCACCATCAGCATCATCACCACCGTCATCATCATAAGCATCGTCATCATCATAATCATCATCAGCAACAATGAGCATCATCATCATCATCATCAGAGTCAGCATCATCGTCATCATCACTATCATCATCAGCAGCATCATCGTCATCGACATCACCACCATCAGCAGCATCACCATCATCATCATCATCATCATCATCATCATCATCATCATCATCAGCATCATCATCGTCATCGTCATCGTCATCAGCATCATCATCGTCAACACCAGCATCACCATCATCATCATCATCATCATCATCAGCAGCAGCATCAGCATCATCAACATCGTCATCATCATCACCATCATCAGCCACAGCAGCATCATCATCAGCATCAGCATCATCATCGGCATCATCATCCTCATCCTCAACAGCAGCAGCAGCAGCATCGTCCCCATTCTCATTCTCATCCTCCTCCTCCTCCTCCTCCTGCCCCTCCTCATGCTTTCTTTATCCTCCTCCTTCTCCTCCTTCTCCTCCTTCTCCTCCTCCTACTCATCCTTTTTCTCCTCCTCTTCCTTTCCCTGCTCATCCTCCTCCTTCTCCTCCTCC